CTGCATTTTTAAAATTTGTTCCTGTTTTTTATTTGGTTACCCAAGAGAAAAATGCAATTCCTCAGGATTGCTGTAAAGAGGGAATAAAAAGAGTGTCTTCATCAAAATGGCTGGGAAAAATATCCTACAGTCAAATACCCTGTTGTATTCCCAGGGCTTGATGTTATGGCCATACTTCCACTGCTTTAAAAAAAAAAAAAAAAAAGCTGAATAAAATGAAAGACAGTAATTAAATTCTGAGAATTCAGGAATTCTTACAATAACTTTGAAATACCATAAGATTCTCAGACTCAGACATATCCTTTCTTTTGCAGAACAGAAGAGGAAAAAAACATGTACTCTAGAGCCAGACTGGCTGAGTTTGAATCTTGAGTACTGGCTATGTGACCCCGGACAAGTTACTTACCCCTCTGCCCCACTAATGAATTTCAAATGAATGTCATACTAATACCTACTTCATAGACTTGTATTAGATTAGCTAATATATGTAAAACACTTAGAAGATACAGTAAGCGTTTTCTAAATGTTAACTACTATCATCACCATTTTGCCCTTGTCCCTTTTCCACTTAGTCCCAATTTAAATGTAGGCCATAGGTCAGGGAAAGGAGGGGGTAAATAATTGCAAAAAAGTAGAATGAAGATAACTGGGAATTAAACATAACTTCCTATATGTCGACTACTTGTAATACATAAAATGTTGACTAATTCGCTATGTCCCAGACTAAGCACCCCTAACAATTCCACTTTGCCTTTAATTTCTATTTCTAAACTTGGTTCTGACCAAAATCTTCCTTGATCTGTAATGTACCTCCCAAATCAATACCAAAAATGTTCTTAATAAACAAGACTTGAATCATACAGCAAGATTCACGAGGTAAGAATGCTTAAAGCCATGCTTTGATAAAAGAGGAAGTGGGAGGCACTGTCATTTTAATATTAATAGTGGACATTATTATCTTAATGAATGAGTCCTAAGAATAGTCACTGTAGGGTTGAGTAGCTTAATTATACATTCCATAATATTTTTTTTTCCTTTTAACAATTCCAAATACACACGTACTTCTCAATGGAGCAAATAAAATTCAAAATGTCTCATATCATATTCAACAAAAAATGTACAAACTCTCACAGACTGTGTTTTTTGAGTTTCAAAATTATCAAAACCTACCAGAACTTTTAATATGTATTAATATATAACTGCAATATGAATTTAAGATTTGAAACATACAGTTTTTATTACACTAAAATATATAAACATTACTATACAAACTCCTTCAAACTGGTAATCATCCACTAGTTTTCTTTATCTAATAAGGGAAATTGAATGTCAACTAAGTACAAGTATCATTATGCATAAAATAAACCTAGAAGATATTTCTTTGCATTAAAGGTCATTTTCAGTATATTTTAAGAGCATTGCAGGGACTACACATTTCATCATATTTCTCAATATCTTATATCAAAGCATACATGCAAGTAAGTGCGAAATAGAAAAAAATCAATAAAACTATAATATTCCAGATATCCAAACTATCTGCCTAGCATTTTTAATTCATTTAAATATCAGAAAAGTTATTCACCAATTTCAATTCTGATATTCCAATCAATGAACATGCAAAGCTTTATTTTAAAAGTCATACACTGTTGATGAAAATGTAAAATGATACAATCAATTTGAGAAAAGGTCTGGCAGTTTCTTAAAGATTTAAACATATATCTTCCCTAATCCAGCATTTAAGTCTATAACAAATTTACACAAGAATATACATAATAGCTAAAATCTGGAAATAGCCCAGAAGTCCATCAAAAGATAATGGATAAACAAACTGTGGTGTATCTATTAAATGGAATACTACTCAGCAACAAAAAGCAATAATGAACTACTGATAAGAGAGTGGATGAATATTAAAAACATTAAGATGGGTGAAAGAAAACAGAAACAAACAGTCCATACTGTATGACTTCAATTATATTAGGTTCTTGAACAGGCCAAATTTATCTGTGGTTTTTTAAAAGTTAGAACAGTGGTTGCCTGAGGTGCCAGGGGATTGATTAGGAAGGGGCAAAAGAGAACTTTTTGGGGTGATGATAATATTCTAAATCTTGATGGGAATTTAAGCTACACAGGTGTAGTCATTTGTCAAAACTCATCAAATGGTACATTTAAGATTTATGCATTTCACTGTTTGCAAATCTTACCTAAAAAAACCCACAAATAAATATTGAACCCCAGTTCATAATACTCATGTTAAAGTTTTAAGGGAAAAATACTTTAATTCTGCAACTTTTTAAAAATAATTGTTTTCTTTTAAAAAATGAATTAATGGCTGGATAGGTGAATAAAAATGTTATAAAACTAATATAACAAAACATTAAATGTAGAATGTAGGTGGTAGGCATGTGATGTTTACAGAAAAGTTGAAGTTTTTAACTTTTTCTGTATATTTGAAGGGTTTCTTAATCTTTGTAACAGAGGTGAATTCACACATAATTTTAAAATCACAAAAGATCTAACAAAGTCTAAGTCTAACAATACATCCATTTTAAATTGTTTGAACTAACTTGAATGGTATTTCTATTTTTCTTTATTTACTTTGCTTTTCTACTATTTACAAATGAACTGAAAACTAAAAATAACAAATTCAAATTATAGCTGCTACTTTTAATGAAACATATAAAAAACACTGAACCAATTTCTCAAAATTATATACAAAGATCTAGCATGACTGTCAATGTTTAAGTAGGTTGCATATTTTAAGAATTTACTCTTTTGTATTTAAGAATTGCAACCATATTTCACCTAATTATTTTTAATTATTTACAATCAAAGTCACCATCAAATATTTAATTGATTTTGAGAATCTGTGGATCTGAACATTTGAAAAAAATACATTATGAAATTTAGACATGGTACATTTGGCATCTACTATAGTACTGTCATCTAAAGAAACATTTCAATTATGCCTCATCAAAGAATTTTACCTTTATAGTACTGAACTTTTTGTTTCGTGGCACAAAAAAGAGAACACAAATCAGTACAAATGTATTACCTTGCATTTAAAAGAACATGTATTGACAAAGCATTTAACCACTATCATCTACAGGATACATTAATTACAACTTACCATGCTCAATTATCTAAACATATCTACTTAAAATTTGACATTATTTTAAAAGAAGGCACATGGAAAATAACTGATATTTTAAACATTTTCACATAAGATGCAATAGGGTAGAGTGAATCTTAATAACACCAAGCTGATGTCTCATTATACACAAAAGAAAAGTATTTAATTTGAATATTTTAAGAAATCTAGCATTTATTAGAAATGAAAGAGCATCATTATCAGGATGCTATTATAAATCATACCTAGGTTGCAAAAATTGTAAGTTGTAAAAAAACAATGTATCCACTTAAGATTAGATGGATAAGAAAAGATAAGAAAGTGGCAAGAACAGCCTATTCACTAACTAAATTACTAATATGTTGGATGAAATAGTCTTTTGACTTAGTATATTTTTCAAATTTAATGTATTTCTACAGAACCAAGTCTACATTTTAAAAATAAAATCACACTTTTCTATGTCTTCCCAGCATTACATTTTGTAAGTAAAGCTCACAGCCCCAAAGAGTTCTCTAAAGTACATAGGACGTCTGGTGACTTCAGCTGTATTCCATTGGTACTATCAGAATTTGTCCTTGTATAGTCCCCTTAGTGAAAACTGTACTCAGTAAAAACTGCTAATGTACATTGGTAAGTAGTCAGAAACTCAAAAAAGTCTCAATACAAAAAGAAAAAAACTTCATAGATTTGCAAATGTTAGCCACTATTTTTATATAAAAAAAGATCAAAAAAAAGTTTCTTCTGTATGGCACAGGGAACTATATTCAATATTTTATAATAACCTTTAATGACAAAGAATATGAAAATGAATATACATATATATATGCATGACTGGGACATTGTGCTGTACACCAGAAACTGACACACTGTAACTGACTGTACTTCACTCAAAAAAAAAAAAACTTTAGCTCAGAATTTCCCTAAGATACTCTGTAAGATAATAACAAATAGACTCCAAAGAGTTCAATGGTCAAATAAGTCCTTCTTTGTACAAGAATTCTCATAAACGATACTATGCTAATTACAGTTGCATGTGTGGGGAGGTGGACAACGAAAGTGAAGCAGAATCACATGCATGTTAATTTTTGCCAATTAATATTAAAGCAAGATTGACTCAGAAAAACTGCTGCAGAAAAATCACTGCAGTGGCTGTATCTAGTGTTTAAAAATATGAAAAAATAAGATTTTTTTATTCTACTCAGTCTCTAAATGCTAACAAATTTGTTACCTGACACAGGCAACGAAACAACAATCTTAAACACTTGGAGAAAAATATGACTGTAACAGACTATGTTTACACTATTTTCTGGACAGCAAAAAAATTTTCAAGGACAATTTTGTATAGTGTACATTTTTTTACCTTCCACACTTATTTTAGACCCTAGCCACCAAAAGATGCTGTACTTTTTTGAACACATAACTTTCCTAAAAACATCTCACAGAATTAATGTTCCACAGAAAACACTTGGCAAAATGACTTAGCTATACAAAGTCAGCATTCAAAGTGAACATTCAGTAACAATTCTGAGTAGTACCATGCTAAGATTGTAATATGAATTACATTTTGTATGGTCATTTGTTCTCAATAATTTCAATAAGTTAAAGCTTACTACAGTAAAGATTTACTAGATTTATATTGTAAAAACATCACGTTTTTACAATATAAATTACAAGATTCATCAGACTGAAAGAGAAGTCACAGCATAAAGAAGCAGAAATTGTCAAAAAGATATATCATATTATACATTCAAGGCTTTTTATAATAAAATATCTAACCTTTTTATAGCAGATATAAAATGCCAATGAAATTAAGCAGTCAACAAGCTACAACAGTACCATAGAAGCCATTTTATTTTTATTCCTTCTTTTCCTATAGCCATAACCTAAATTTTAGATTTAATTTCCCCTCACTACAATGCCCACCCTGAAATGCTGCTATTATAACATTAAATCATATGCCCCTCGTCAAAAGCCTTCCATGGCTTTCCATCATACATTTGATTCCTTAAAAACAGCATTTAATGTAATCCATAATCTGGTACCAATCAGCTTTCAACTTCCATACTGATATCCCTCAATTTACCCTCACCTACTCTTCAACAAAAATTTTTGAGAATCTAGTATGATTTAGGTACCATGTTAGGCTCCAGAATACTCTACTGCAGTATTCTCTGGGGGTGGGTTTTAGATTGCATCAGAATCTCAGAGAGTTTTTGCTGGACTTCACCCCGGCAAGCTCCGGACCCAAAAGGGATGGATTTCCATTTCTCACACATTCTCAAGCAATGCTGACGCTGCTGGTCAAAATCTATACTTGGTGAACCACTGCTCTACTCCAAAGGCCACTAGCCCACTGGCTGAATGAGGACCACTCACATGTTTGTCTTGTTTTAAACATTTTAAACTATTTCCAAATGTTTCAAAAATGGAAAATTTCTCATACAAATGCAGGTTTCTGGTTTATTTCCGCACGTAAAAATTTTGCTGAAGCTAAACAGCAGCTACTGCAACTAGTCAAGGTGTGTGTCCCAGTCCAGGTTATCCAGCCCAACCAGCCCTCTCAACGTCCACTTAAAAACCACCGGGCTTGAGCACCGTGCATGTACTCATACACTTTGACCCACTTTTCCCCTTTCTCTATGCCTTTTTTCATGCTGCTCACTCTGACATAAACACCTTTTCTATACTGCTGAAATCCTACACACCCCATTCTAAAATTTGGCTTAAATATCCTTCCTCAACAAAGCCCCAGCAAAAATAGAAATCCTTAAGTAACACACCTATTAGAGATTTAACATAAATGTAATATGTGTGCTTTAAGAATCAAAGTTTTATTTCCACAAATATTGAAATAGCAATATTTACAAAAAAATTAAAACACTATTGACACTATAAGTTATAATTTGTTGCTATTTTATTCTAAGTAAAATGTTAATATTGTTCATCAGAGCTTTTATTGTGATTTCACTGTGAGAAATCTTTTTAAGAATAAGACATTCAAAATGAATTAAGATATTTTAAATCCTATAGTCAAAATATATAACAGCTCCAACAGAGCATCTTATTTTGCTGGACAAAAAAAAGAGGAGGATGGGGGTAACTGACACAATTCCCCTGATTTCATAACCCATCAATCTTTAAAAGCAATTTTAAGGACATATATGTTTTCATTTTTTTATTGTGTAGGATATTTTAGTGGATTTTTACTTCTATAGAATAGCAGAGGGGAAAAATTACAGAGAAGCAAAAACTGAGTGCTGGTCCTTGCTCTGCCATAGAGTTTTTTACATCAAGTTAATCATTGAGTTCTCCCTGGACCTCAGTTTCATTACCTTGAAATTGAGGTGAGAAAAAGCATTCTCCCATTAACTTCCTTTTCTAAAACCCAAGGACTTACACTTTCAAAGAATGAAAGCATAAAAATCAATGTCATATAGACAAGCTTCTTGCAGGTTAGTATTGCTTCTAAACTAGACTGACTTAAAAACCCTGAACTACAGCTTTCAAAGCACTAACGTAAAATGTTGAAGGGGCTCAGTGATAGAGTGAATACTTAGCACGCAGAGGTCCTGGGTTCAATACCCAGTACTTCCATCAAAAAAAAAGTTGAAGATTCAGAACGGTGAAAGAATATTTATGTATTTATATGTATGCTACATGTTAATGATCAAAATAAAATATCTTTTATAAGGCCAACAATTAAACTTAGAAAAAAAAAACTGGAGGAAGAAAAAAGATTTATAACCATGCCAATCAGTGTTTCAGCATTTGCATTAGGAGACTCTGGATCTTATCTCACTATTCTATTTCACCAGGTCTCCTCTGACACAACTTTGGCAGGAAAAGAATCTCAGAAGAAAATAATTAGAAAATCATGTCAAAAAACCCTTTTCATAATAGACTAAAAACAATTTTTAAAGAATATGTACTCACTTCAGGATATTCCCAAATGAAAGTAACTTGGCCAAAATTAAAATTATCAAAATGTAAGACTGAGAAAGAAAAAAAATCTTAGAGGCTATTATATTCAGGTAGATCATGCTGTAAGCGAATTGCTTTTAGCTTCTCCACTTCAATTTTTGCTCTTAGCAGCTCTTCCTCTAGCTGCTGCCTTCTTTTCAATCCATCCCTCTTCTCCTGAACATATAATCCAAAATTTTTTTGATTTTCTAAAATTATTTCATGCTCCTCTTTCAGCATTTGCAGAATCTGAGGATCATACCCTAATTGTGACCTAAAATGTTCTCCACTGTCATGCCGAAAAAAATCATCTCTCCTTGGGATAGAAGATGGAGACGATGTCATTCTCATATCAACAGAGGAAAGTGACGGTGACAAAGATCTTTCCATAACATGTATTAATTCATGTTCTTCTCTTTGCTCTAATGTATCACTCTGTTGAGAATTTAAAACCAACGGAGGAGGAGGTTTAATGTCTTCTTCTTGCTTCACCTCCTCTGTAATAGCAACTGGATGGTGATCCAACATTACCTGTAGGGAACTGGCACCAGCCTGTGTTTCCTCATCCACATTTGCACTACTGCACACAAAAAAGCATTATAAAATGTAAATCAAATGAAGACAAGAACATATTTATAGCATAATTTCACATTTAACATACATTATCAAGTTTTAAAGCTACAAAGAAAATTATGAAGCAAAAAATATTTTAACCTTTGTAATAATAAAGTGACTAAAGTTGGGATTTTAATAATATACATATATACAGCTCTCTCCCATTTTAACTTTAAAATTGGGCTCTTTAGAAGACAAGAAATTACAAATACTACACAAGGCCACTAAGGCAAATAAAAAAGAAAAGGCATGTCTGGCCCTAGTTGTCCCTACAAGCCTAAGGTTCTTAAATACTGTAAAGTGTTATTTAGTTCATTTTGGGCCTTGTTATTCCCACACGTTAGACCTAGACTTCCTGCTTCTACTCTCCTGGATTTTTATTTTAAAATCTGACTGATTTAAAAATCACCAAGGTCCATGACTTCCAGGAGGACAGTGAAAGACAAACTCTGAGAGGTACTGATTTCTGTATTTGTCACCAAAAAAAAAGAAGAAAAAAATCAGGATTGTGTATGGCTCTGGGCATGCCCAACTATTAGAGGGTTCTCCTAACCACCCCAATTTCAGATGCAATGATGTTTCCCCTTTACTTATCCTAAACCATGACTCAGGTGGTCTTTAAGTCTTTCAACCAGTGGTCAGGTGAAATGCACAAGGGCAAGGGTCTCCCCAGCACCCAGCATAATACTATACTTGGCACCTAGTAGGCACTCATCATATGTTGAACGATTGAATAAATTACATGGCTTTTTTAATGCAATGTTTTTAATGGCTTATATATTGAAAGTTTATTAAATTTACATGAAATTTCCATAAAGTATGCATTCCTATTAGAGGCAACTACAGTTTTAGCATAACTTAAACTTCGACATAACAATATTTGTTATGACATAAACATAATGTACTTTAAAATTCTGTTGGTTTTTAAATAATTTCATGTGTAATATGAAGCTGTGAATTAAGAATATATAATGTTTGTTAAGGTTTTTTTTTAAGTTATGCTTCTGCCTAACTTAAAAATAAGAGTTATATGAATGTATGTATGTATATGTATGACTGAAACATTATGCTGTACACCAGAAATTGACATACAGTAACCAACTATACTTCAATACAAAATAAATTAAAAAATAAGAGTTATAGAGGGGAAAGAGATTATTGGGGTATTAATGGAAATGCTGTACTTAAACATTATTTAAAGAACATTTTTTAAGTGATAAATAACATAGTTAAGAATACATTCTACATGGATGATTAAAATGCTGGAGCAAGTTCAAGTAGAACATAAGGAAAAAATTTAAACTCCCTATATGTCTAAGAGCATTAAATTGCCAGAAATATCAGATATTTTTCTAAGGGTTACAAATGAAATAATAAGATATACATAGTATGTTATGAAAAATCTATTTGTAGACTATACAAATTCCTTCATTTTCATTCTTGTCTTTTTCAAAAGCAAAACAATGGAATATAAATCTAATTCAAATTAGTAAAATTTGCTTTTATTAATATCTCTAAATCTGGAATGGGAAAAAGTTAAAACCACAGATGAAAATTAAATTTTAAAAATCCACATAATTACTATTCCAAATTAGTATATATATAATAGAGCATAAGACTCATAGTTGAACACTGACAGCATACTCTCATATAAATTAAAAATACGCCTTATATCTGGAATCTTCCATTCTATTTTAGTTAAAACATTACAAATAAGGCATAACAAAGTTTAAAAAAATGACTTACAGAGGGTCATCAAAAATAATAAAATAGAGAAGGACTTCTAAAATTTATGAATATGAATTCTGAGGATCAGATTATAAAAAAAAATATAATTTGATGTTAGAAATAGGTAAAATTAAGACATAAATCAATGTGATTTGTAGAAATAAACAGCCTTACAAAATAGCTCTATATCCTTAAACAGGCTAAATTGATGAGATTAAGACATTTATATAGAAGCATAATTAAGATGATAATATAATTATAAACTTCTGAGATAAGATTCAAGATGACGGCAATCAAATAAATATATTAAATATATAAATATATTAAATGAAAATGCTAGTATACAGAAAGTGGCAGTGCAGGAACACTAACACAAGTAAGCATTTAAGTGGCACATTTCTGATAGTCTTACCTTTAAAATCTGAAAAACTGATTGTTTAAATGGTAGCTTTACAAAGTGTTAATTAACTCACTTAAACAGAGAAATGCTGGTGTCCCAAAAGACTGTGTAGGTATATATGTTGTATGTATGCATATGTATATATACCATATACACACATACACACACACACACAAATGTTCCAAATGTAAACAGATACTTGCATCTTATATATTTCGCTTCCGTATCATTGTATTTTTAAAATACACAACTTAATAAAACTACAGTTTCTATGTGTAGTTTTCAAATTATAAAAGTCTATACATGCCAAAAAGGTGGTTTTATACCTGTAATGTAAAGCCACTGCTCTTTACGGTTCATACAGGTAAAAAAATTTCATAAGTATAAAACAGTCTTACTGTGGAGTTCTTTTGGACATTCAGCATATTGGGATTTAATCATTTGTCATCACAGAGAACAGTGACCCCATGAATTAATATACTGTGTATCCACGTCTTAAGATTCCCACTGGTATTATTTTTCACTATGCTCGTCAACCACGGTAAGAAGCTGGGCTCAAAAACATAACCGTAGTAAATTATCAAAATAACAATTATGTTTGCTAAAAAGGTTTTTCCCGTTTCTCCCCTAATGTTAAAGGGACTTCACAGGTAATCAATAATTTTGCTTATGTAATGACTCTTCCACCAATAGGAAAGCACCTTGTAAAGTTTTGTTTGAAAGGTTCCTCAACTAACAAGGAGTTTACAATTTGTTTAAATTACTCTAAATGATTCAGAAGAAGAATGTGGCTTCCATTTTTATCTTTTGCCAGGGATTCAATTTTGAATTAGTAAGTAGTAAGATAATAGTTTTTGAAGATTTCCAGGCAAGTAGTTATATGGAGCACAATTTAACCAAAAACCTGTTTCTAATCCAGTTGCTCTTACTGGTATATTAAAATTCATAGTTTGATACCCTTGCAAAACAGTATGGGAGAGCTTACCCTTTTCTGCATGACCCAAAATCAAAGTGAAACTAGATCATTAATATGTAAAAACAACAAAAACTTTTAATTTTATTAAGTAATCTGAATCCCTAATTAGGTATTAACTCCTCTTCTTGTGTTTCCTTGTCTTTTTTACTTTGAATATAAGTTAGAAAAAAATTTAAACTGTCTTAATACATACAATAATACCATTAGCAAGTTTACTTAATTGTTGATTTTAGGTTTTCAGCTTAATTAATATTCAGTAAATGTAGGCAGTGACAATTCCTAAAATAGCAAGAATTGCATTTCCCCTGAAACTGCTAACTTTATACAAAACTGAAAATTCCAATGAAATGTAATATTAAATGAAACACGAAAAAAGTACCTCTCAGAAGCTAATTAAACAATTTAATTTTAAAGCTTAAAAAGTTTATGAGGGGATGTCACAAACTGCATCCCATTTATTCCTCCCTAACCTTTACTTTTTAGAAACTACAGAGGGAGGGAAGGGGGAGGGGAAGACAATGAAAAGTGGCTTAAATCAAATGCAGCAGAAAAATTCCTTATAGCCTCACTTTTCTTTTTTAAGAACGCAAAACAAAGGCACCTTTCACTGCTCCCGTCATGGGGATGCTTACTATGCATATCTCCAGCACAGCTAAACCAGAGCCCAATAGATAGGAGGCGCCATAATTTTCCACAACAAAATAAAATAAAGCTTACCTTTGTATGTGGTTCCTGTCTCTTACCAGGCAAAAACTGGAAATCTGGGGAATCAACTCCATAACTTTCTTGGTTGGCTCAGAAATATTGCTTTTAAAATCTGATTGGGTCTCTTTTTGCAGCAATAGCTCCTGTTTGGCATATTCTTTGAGCCTTTTGTAAAGAGTGCGCAGGCCCTGCGCTGTTCGAGGAGGGCGGTCTACTCCAATTGCATTATAGTTAACTGCTATGATATCCCAACATCTATTCTTTTCCACTATCACTGAATGTTTGTTAGTGTGTTCTTCGAGAATTTTAACATAGGGCTTCACAAGCTTTAGCAGATCAAGCTTTTCAGATAAGGTAAAATTGGAAGATCTAGCTTTTCCTACCATTGTTATTTTCAAATTAAGTAGGCAGTTTCTGAAACCACCATGCAGCCTTCAGCTCTGCTCAGCTCTTTTCACAAACAGAAAAAGATCAGGCTTAACTAGGCTGGCCTCATTTAGGCCCACGCCTACAAGGGAGGGTTTATTAAAATTCCTCCAGCTTAAGCTGACGCAGGTTCAGGAAATCTGCTTAAGCCAAGCCTGACCTACATAAAGCTTCTCACTGAAGAAGACAGGAAGGCACAAGCAAAACACACTTGTGTATAAAGAGAACAGCTCGAGATAGGATTTAATACACAAAGGTCCAGAGATAAGCATGGAACACAGCTAAAAATTAGCTAATTTAGGGAGAATATCGAGTTTCAACACGTTTGCCTGGCTCACAGACTGAAACAGCATTGCGGTATCACTTTGATAAAAACAAAAGAGGAACTGTTTTGTGCTATTTGTTTACAAATCCAGTAGACAGAAAAATGAAAAACTAAAGAATGAGTGGGGAATGTAGTGATTCCTAAGAGAGCCTCTAATCACTGTCTCTGAGCTGCTGTTCTCTCTTACAAAATCTGCATAATGCTGGTCCTGCTGTCAATCAGGAACTGCATATCCTCTAGCTAGTTAGGTTACACCCAGACTCAGGCTCCACAGTAAAGCTAAGCTTCTCCTTCACTTTGCAGTCTACGGTAGGCACTGCGCATTTTTCTTCAGCTACTTACGAAGGAATTTTTGTTGAACACTAAACCTATAAAGCAGATACAAAGTATGATTTTAAAGCAGATATAAATTATGATTATTGCAGCTGTAACGTTCAGAGATATGCTAGCCTGCTTTACCTTGTCTAAAAAACACCATTCACGGTGAGAACGGCATAATAATGCCTTAAGACTGCACACAACAAAATCGCATTTGCTATTATTATGAAGCAAGATTTTTATTCAGCTATATTCACACAATTTCGACTATCAGCGCAAACAGCTAGTCTAGCCATTTGCAAGGCCACCAATTTGTGTGCTTAGAATATATTTTCTAGTCCCTGCCTGAAAACATGATAAATGACAATGTAAACAAAATAAGCCTCTTTCTCCTGACATACATGTTTCTCCAGAGAGGAGAATGAATTAGAACACACTCGAATACAGTTCCAGTCAATCAAACAATTACTGAATACCCATAAAAATGTTCCAAGCACTAATTAAGGCCAAGGAAAACAAAACTAAATCTAGATATAGCCCTATCCAGCAAACTACAGAAATGCCATAAATTTTCAATTACCTTATTTTTCATTCTTTCAATGGAAGAAACTTAAATTATATTTATCAAGTTCTCACTATGAGCCAGACAATGTGCTAAAAGTTTTAAATGTGCTTTCTGTCAGGGAAATCATGCAAATGATCCTTGTCCATAGAGATGCATATTGAAAACTGACCCGGTCCAACAACCTGACCACAGTCACTCAAAGGAAAGCCAGAACACAGGATATATCCTTTCTTTAGATAATATTTTGTTATTTTTGGAAGAAATTGTTTTTGAAGCCTTGAACTTCACTGTCTAATGCAGGAGTGATGAACCGTATATGGCTATTGAGTATTTTAAACGTGCTAATGGGGCTGAGGGACTGAATTCTAAATTTTATTGTATTTTAATTAATTTAAACAAAAATTTTAAACAAGCAGCATATTTTCCTATTAAACACAACTTTATTGTGTTGGTAGGATTACATTTTACTTAACCCTTTTGTCACATGTGATACTATTCTTCCTAGTATTACTGATGTCGACTGAAATAAATGCACAGCCTAAAAATTGAGTTGTTTTATTTGGTGGGAGGACTCGAGCCGGGATCACAGCCTCTCAGACGGCTCTGAGGGGCTGCTCCGAAGAGGTAGAGGAGGAGCTAGGATACATAGGAGCTTCACAACAAAGACCAGGTAGTTGGAACAATAAAAGATCGCTTGTTATCTAAAGAAAAACGGGCATATCAAGTTAAAGAACTTAGTGCTTTTCTATGCATGGGAGGAAGCAAACATTTGGGCTCACTGAATTCATTCCTTTGACAAGCACCTAGCTATTTAGGGCCAGCAGTCCTTTCTTATTCTGAGTCCACTCAGAGTGCACCACTGTGAGTGGCTGCAGAGGCCGGGCTACAGGCCTGTCCTCACTAGGGGGTGGCGGCAGCTGCTGATGACTTGGTTTCAGCATTCTTTGTTTACTGATACGGTTGCAGTATTTTCATTCACACTGCAGTATTTTGGTTCACACTGACAAGAACTCCCTCCTAGACCAAACGTTAGTCAGGCTCCTCTGAGCCCTCTTCTCAACTAGGCCCTTAGCAAGAATCCTGCTAAGTCAGTTTATGGAGAATTCCCCAACCCTTGACACCTAACCAAATTCTTCATACTCCCATCCTTAACACCCAACCAAGTTCCTCTCAGTAATTTTCCATCCACTGACTTGCTTACCCTGCCCACTGGCTATAAATCCCTGTTGTATTAGAAATTGAGTTCAGTCTCTCTCCCCTAATGCATAGCTTTGAGTAAAGTCTTCTTGCCTGTTTAACTTGTTTGGTATAATTTTTCTTTGACATTACACATAACCACATCACCAGCAAGTAGATCTCAAATTGATTCTGTTTGAATGATTTTTTTCTATGCACTGATGTAACATTTAATGGATTTGTTTGAATATTTTATGCAGATAGTACAAATTAGTTATACCCTGTGTAAATGGTAGTTGATTATTAATCTGAAATACTTAGTCTTAATTATATATAATTATTTTTCTAGGTAAAAAAATAAGAATGAGCAAATTTTTGTAATATAAAAAAGTATACTACTGATGCAGAATCAAGTAGAGATACAGAAGTTAGTACTATTATATTTATACAATGGAATACTACTCATCCATAAAAAAGAATAAAATAATGCCATTTGCAGCAACATGGATGGACCTGGAGAATGTCATTCTAAGTGAAATAAACCAGAAAGAGAAAAAAAAATACCATATATCATCACTATATGTGGAATCTTAAAAAAAAATCCAAAGGAACTTACTTACAAAACAGAAACAGAATCAATGATATAGAAAACAAACTTATGGTTACTAGCAGGGTAAGGGAGTGGGAAGGGATAAATTGGGAGTTCTAGATTTGCAGATACTAACTACTATATATAAAATAGATAAACAATAGGTTTATACTTCATAGCACAGGGAACTATATTAAATATCCTGTAGTAATTTATGGTGAGAAAGAATATGAAAATGAATATATGTATTTTCATGTATGACTGAAGTATTGAGCTGTACACCAGAAACTGACACAACATTGTAAACTGACAATACTTCAATAAAAATATATTTTAAAAAAGAAGTTAGTACTTTTATTGGAACAATAAAGGAAAAAAAAGTGTTGACTATCACACGCAATTTGCCACAGCAGAACAACAATAATCTGATCAGTGCATAAAGAAATGTTTAAGAAAATAAACTAGACAATAGTAAGAGACACTGTCAAAAAATACAGTAAATTTGACAAGCAGTTTCCTCTCAACAAACAAGAACTGATGAAGTTCAATCACCTCAAATCAGAATTAAATATCCAGAAACATTTTTAAATGATATGTAACAAGGTCTGACCTTGTAACTTTGGTAAGCTATATAATGGCTTGGTTCCTTGCACAAAAAAAGAAAACCATACTTAGACAAAGAGATGGTGAAAATATACGTTTTTTATTATATATACAATTATATATAATTTATATATTATATATAAAATATATTTAAATATATATTATATATATAATTTCACTTATGGAAATTTTGTTAGAAAACTATGGAAAAAAGATTTTAAAAGATATTTTTAAAATGAAAGATCTTCAATTAAGCAACCCACAACTGTCTATAGAATACAAGACTAACATATCCAACATTAGTGGATTCAATATTCTAAAACTTGCAAGTACTTTCCTATAGATTGAAATGAGCTGTACAATATAAGAGATACCGCCCTATTAATACTTGGGTCACATTTTATCTGAAAGGACTTCTAAATTTACAAAGAAATGGTATTGATTCATGATCAAATACATATAGGAACTCATAACATGGATTTTTTTAATCTTCTATATCTGTCAAAGAAGAATTTCAACTAGACATGGGGGAAAAGTTCTACTGCAACAGATGGTGTTCTGTTAGGTTAGATTTAAAATTCTGGATTTACTGAAATTTTAAAACAAAAAATTAATCTTACATAAATTACTGTTTCACATACATTATAAAAATATTGTATTTAATCTTCTATAGCAGACTCTATGAAAAGTGTCATGAATACACTTGTTAAAACTACTTGGCAATCTACAGATTCAATGCAATCCCTATTAAACTACCAATGGCATTTTTCACAGAACTGGAACAAAAAATGTTTCAATTTGTATAGAAACACAAAAGAAGGCAAACAGCTAAAACATTCTTGAGAAAGAACGAAGCTGGAGGAATCACACTCCCTGACTTCAGACTATACTACAAAGCTATAGTAATCAAAACAGTATGGCACTGGCACAAAAACAGATGTATAGATCAATGCAACAGGATAGAAAGCCCAGAAATAAAACCACACACTTATGGACAATTAATCTATGACAAAGGAGGCAAAAATATACAGTGGAGAAAAGACAGTCTTTCAATAAGTGATGCTGGGAAAACTGGACAGCTACCTGTAAAAGAATGAAATTACAACACTCTCTAACACCATATACAAAAATAAACTCAAAATGGACTAAAGGCCTACATGTAAGACTGGGTACTATAAAACTCCTGGAGGAAAATATAGACAGAACACTCTTTGACATAAATCACAGCAGTATTTTTTTCAAACCAGCTCCTAGAATGGAAATAAAAGCAAAAGTAAACAAATGTAGTATTAAGAGTGGAGTGTACTCTGACTCCTTCAGGAGGATGTGATCAGCTTATTTAAATGATTCTGTGGCTGGCAGGGAACTGAAACCTGCAACTCATGGATAAGCAGAAACTGCACCTGATCCATTTAATAAGGAGGGTTGTTTAGCTAAGGGGTCTTATACTAGGGAGCAGAGTGGGGAAG